AGAACATTTACAGATAGTTTGTCATCTTATACCAGAGAGGTTGGCAGCAGCCCAAAATAATTATAATAGTAACATCAAAGATCATTGATCACAGATCCCCATAGCAAATATAGTAATAATATAAAAGTTTGAAATATGGGGAGAATTACCAAAACGTGACATAGACACGAACAAATGCTGTGGGGAAAAAATCATATTGACAGATTTTCTTCATACAGGGTTGCTACGCACTTTCAACTTGCAGATAAACATGATCTTTGAAGTTAAATATAGCAATGCACAAAATAACAAGGTAGTCTGAAAATTTTTTTCCAATAGATAATATGAAGGACTGAAAAATTAAGACTTTGTCTAATACATAACTGATTTGCATTTTTGTAAAGAGTTGAGCCCTGATTCAGATTCTGACCCTTTCTATCAGCTTTGAGACCTTAAGATATTTATACAAACATGCCGTGCTTCAATATCTCAGCTCTCAATATCTCTCCAATTATGAAAGAATTTCACTCTCCCACAGTCAACACATGAGAATTCCAGGCGCTCCGTATCTATAACAACACACTGTGTCATTTTCTGTTATTTCAATTTTAGTTGCTCTGGTGTGAATAGAGTGGCATTTTATGATGGCTTTAGTTTGCATTTCCTTAATGATGATTAATTTGATTTATGTTTTCATATCCCTCTCAGTCAGTAAACTATCTTTTTTTTGTGAAAATGTTCAGATTAAAGATTTGTCTGCTTTATTGGATCTTTAAAAAAATTTTTTGAGTTGCAAGAGTTGTTTATGTAATCTGGATGCAAGTTCTTTTTCAAGTGTGTATATTGTAAAGAATATCTGCCCAATCTCTGAATTGAATTTTCATTTCAACCAGTTTTTTGAAGAGCAGAGCAGATGTTAATATTGATGAAACTGAGTTATTGACTATTTTTTCTTTACACCTTTTGATATTTTGTCTTAAAAAAGGTCACAAAGATTTTATCATATATTTTATTCCTGAATATAGAGTCTTGGAAAAGCCTGAGACACTGGCCTGGACAGGTATTTGGGTGGGAATAAATGTAAAAGATTTTCTGACTGGCCACTACACTCAAAGACACTGTCCATGGTAGAGGTAAAGGGCAAGTTAATGATCATGTAAAAGGAAACACAGAAATTGGTAGAAAAATGAGTGCAAGAGTGAGAGAATTTTGGGGTAGAGGTAGGTGTGGCACTGCAAGGAAGATGAGCAATTTATAGCTGATGTGGAAGTTGCATGGATAATCTTCATTTATCATATACAACCACTCTAGCAAACTGTGGGTTTATTCTAATGAACAAAGGAAAGGAATAAATGAGGTGGCAGGTGACTGGGATTGGTTTCTTCATAAAGCAGAATTAGTGGGTAAAGTAAGACAGCACCAGGCTTCCTGCAGCAATACCTGTCAGCAGCTGAAGCCTGGAGACTGACTCCTATAAAGTTAGGGCTCTCCACCCTCAGGTGAGCCCATGGAAGGAGTCAGGAATAAAGGCGAAGGAGAGGAGAGTCATGATGACTCCTGCCCATGGGCCCCCAGCCCCGGGGACTCTGTTTCTCCTCAGCTTCTCCCAGGTGGAGCCCTGGGGTTTCACACACACAGAGGAAGGAGCAGGATAAATTCTTCCGTGACAGACCCAGCCTGATGGCCCTCAGTGGCACTGGTGCCATCCTGTCTACCCTCACCCTTTTTCAGTACTGATGACTGGCTTCTCTTTTTAAAAGTTAGCAGCTGCTGGTGAGTCTCCACTGCTGTCCTGTGCCAGGGTCTCAGGGGTGGGTATTAGGGGGTCACAGGAGAAGAAAGGGAGAAAATACAGGGAGAAGGGGATGTAGAGACTCCCAAGAAAGCACCAAGCCTGGAAGGAGGCGGTCTGCGTTCTCACCCTCACCCTCTCCTAACACTTAAACGACTTTAGACAGGTCTGCTCCCTATGTTGGACCTTGCTTAGCTTTTTCATTTGCAAAATGAAAGTGGGCGATCCAGGCTGTCGCAGAAGCCCTTTCACTTCTGATGCTCAGTGTGTTTGCATAGACCCAGGGCCAGAGAGGGGATCAAGTCTCGCTCACTCTAGAGAAGTGGGGGTGACCATCTGCACTATCATGTTTCTTGGGTCGGAGAGAGAGCTGCTTCTCTCCTCTTGACCATGGTCTCCATGGCCAGGCCAGTTCCTTCCTGGCTCCTGTTTGGATTCAGCCTCCAAAAGCCATCAGGATGTCACAAGCCCTCAGGTCTCAATAGACTATTCCCTGGTAAAGCTGGCTGTTACATATAGCCTTCCCTTTTCCTCTTATCCACCAAACAGCACACATACTAAGTGCATTTTATGTGCCAGACCAGTTAAACATAGAAGCGTCTGCCCTGTATTAATAATACAGGCACCCCTGTGACTTCATTGTGGGAAGGTTCTTGGTTCAAGGGCAAGATGCTTGATCCATATCCTTGTGCTCAGGGTTGGTTCCATCTGCATCTTCTCCTATGCATAAGAAACAGCAGTCTCCAGCACAAGCTCATTTTTAAAAATAGGGTATATCAAATTGAAACAAGAATATTTAGAACATATAGAAGAGATAGAGGGCTAGCCACACACTGTATAGTGAAAATCTCTCTTTTCAGGAATTTCCTCTTTAGTCTCACCTGTATCTCCTGTGCTCTGAATATTGTAAAAGGATTGCCACTAGCCACGACTACGTGCTGTCGAATGGACTTCTGTTTTCCTAGTAGACGTGGAGAAATATCTCTTTATCCCTTAGCATAAAGAATAATCTTTCATTTCCTGGGGCTAAAAGTAATCTTAGCCCCATCATGGTCTCTCTATAAAATTCTCATTTCCCACAGATCACACTCTTTGTCTTGCCTATTCTGAAGTAAAAACAAGACTTAATTCTAAACTTCAGGCACAACTAATCAAGATAAGAGGTAAGCCCTCGGTCACTCACTCACTTAATTTTTTCATGCAAAAGCAGAGAGGTGCCCACTATGCATTATACAATGCATGGGGCTCCATGGGTCTAGTTGGTACAAAAAATTGGGTTAAAATCATAAGTTATAAACACACATAAAAAGACTATATATAATGTACAAGTAATATATACATTGTATATAAGATAAACATATGTAGGAATATATGTTTAAGCATACATTTACGCCAATTTATGATTTTATAGATTCTCATATAAAAGAACTGTATACTATATAAAGAATATATATGTATACAATGAACAAATATTATATTATATATCATATTACATTATAGAAATAGTGTATGTAGGTAAATATGTTATATATGTTATTTATATTTAGACATATTTCTATTTATAGATACTTACATAATCATTAGTACATACTATATGTAAGTATATATGTATGTGTATATCTATTATACATTTTATATATATATACATAAATAAGATGTATGTGTGTGCTTTTGCACTCCAATAGTACTGCAGCAAAGGTATTAAGGAAGTACAGAGAAGAATTTGCCTAGCTCTACACGAAGAAGTCAAGAGAGATTTGTTAGAGGAAATATTTGTGCTATCTTAAAGGATCAGAAAATGTTCACTGGTGAAAAACACAAGAGTGGTTTCTGTTAGAAAAGCAAGTTATAAAGCAATATAAAGAATAAAAACAAGAAATGCATACATGGGGAACTGTAGGAAAAAATCAATATGGACTTGTTGCCTATAGCAGAAAAATAAATGCATTTAGAAGGATATCAAAGCAGAAAAGGGCTGGGTAAAGACAGAGCAGTACATCGTACTAGGACTGCCCCCTTTGGATCTAGGTGGTACAGTGATTAAAAACACACTTATGCACTGGCTGGTCCCACTTTGGACTCATGAAGCTCAAATGTGCCTTTATCACTGCCTGGGTCCAGCTACATTGCTCTTATCTTCCTGTTCTCTGTCTCTTCCCCTTGAGCTCATAAACATCTAGACATACTTTTTCCCTAAGAACTGTTTTATTGATACTACATGCTGTCCACTTCAAGTCACCCTGTGGAAAATATCTGGGAACTGTGGTCGTTCAAGCCCAGAAGCAGCTTCGACTACAGCAGAAGGAAGTAGGAATGTCAACAAGGCCATAGTCTTTCTGGGGTAGGTGAGCGTGATTTTATTCCCAATCCCTCCCCTGAAGCTTCTCTTCTCAAGCTCAGCTGTACCTTCCACGTTGCTCAATCCTTTAGTCATGTCCCAGTCCTTGTGAACCTGAGCCCTTGATAACATCATGTATGAATGGTTAATACCTCTTGAAACTCATACAAGACCAGTCTCCTGTTGATTTGCTTTCTAAATGGCTTTTATGTTCCTCCTTCACTTTTAGGGGAGACTTTCTTCTCCAGCTCTAAATTTCAGTTTTGCCCAGGACTCAAAACTAGAAACTTATCTCTATCCTCACTTCTTTGGTTTCCTCCTCTGTATACTTATACCTCCCAAATGTATATCCCTTCTTCAACTTAGTTCTACTACTGACAGTAAAAATGAATACATGAAAAGCTTCTTGGTGGAACTGACTATAAGTTAAATTTTGACATGTTTTTAAAATAACTTTGAAAGTCCTAGATGCAGAATCTCAGCCTACTGTAAGATATATGAGTCTGCAAACCAAAAGAAGAGAATTATAGATAATTGATATTTGTCAACATAAAGATCTTAAGTCATGAGGATGATGTTGTTTGAGGAAGAAAACATACAGCAAGGACAGAAAATTGTTGAGGTTGAGGATGATCATATATAAGGTCTCATCTATTAAAAGAGGCCAGCCAAGAAGACTGAGAAGAAATAAAAATACAGAGAAAAACTGATGAAGGTGTGGTACTTTCAAAGAAAGTTTCAACCAGGTAGTAAGATGGTGGAAACAATAGTGAAGTAGAAGATACCAAAGCTGATGATGGTCTTGATTCTACTTATAATGGTGAGCATGTTTATGAAACTGAAGAATTAATAACCAGAACATTCATTTATTTTCAGCTCAGCCCGTGAAGAATGCCAGCCCAATATCCCCTCCATCCTCACATCGTGCTTCTGTTCAACCTCACACAGTTCAGCCCCATGCTCTACCTCACTGGCTTTCCCGGATTGGAAACCGTCGAGCACTGGATCTTCATCTTCTTTTTCCTTATGTACCTCATGGCCATCTCAGGCAACTGCCTCATCCTGATAATTATTAAGACCAACCCTCGCTTGCACACACCCATGTACTACCTACTCTCCTTTCTGGCCTTCACTGACCTGGGTCTGTCAGTGTCCACCTTGCCCACTACTATGGGACTCTTTTGGTTCAAGTCCCATGGCATCTACTTCGGAGCCTGCCAAATCCAGATGTTATGCATCCACTCCTTTTCCTTCATGGAGTCCTCGGTGCTCCTTGTCATGTCCTTTGATCGGTTTGTGGCCATCTGCTATCCCCTGAGGTACTCAGTCATTATCACTGGCCAGCGAGTGGTCAGGGCAAGCCTGGTTGTCATCCTGCGGGGACCCATAGCCACTGTACCCATTGTTTTTCTCCTGAAGACTTTTCCTTACTGCGCGTCTAGAGTCCTCTCCCACTCTTTCTGCCTGCACCAGGAGGTGATACACTTGGCCTGCACAGACACCACCTTCAACAACCTGTACGGGCTGTCATTGGTGGTCTTTACTGTGATGCTGGACCTGCTGCTCATTGCACTGTCCTACGGGGTCATCCTGCACACGGTGGCAAGACTGGCCTCCAAAGAGGAGCGGCTCCGAGCCTTCCAAACATGCACCTCACACCTCTGTGCTGTGCTGGTATTCTTTGTACCCATGGTGGGGCTGTCCCTGATACATCGCTTTGGGAAGCACGCCCCACCTGCTGTCCACCTTCTTATGGCCAATGTCTACTCTTTGTGCCTCCCATGCTTAATCCAATCATATACAGTATTAAGACCAAGGAGATCCGCCATGCCATCAGCAAGTTCCTGGGTCTTAGAAAGGCCAGTGCTGAGTCATGAGCCTAAAAATTCCACTGGGTGCCCTGAAGAAGGTCCCAAATCAGACCAAAGATTTATAGCATTTAGTACCAATTATACGTTCCATGTTTCCCAAGATTTTCACTCACTACCCTAAATAAAGTATGGATGAATTTCTCTCTTGAATTATGAGTCAGCAATGCTGACTTTCTCTTGCTTAAATTATAATGATCTTCTATATATACAAGACCTAGATGTTTTGGCAACATCGAAAAATGTCCAAAAGAAGACCCTCTTGAGCCTTGTGTAAAAACTAAAACTAAATGAAACTGAATAAAAACTTAAAAGGAGCAATAAATTAAAAAGCAACTAGAACAGAACCTACCAAAGCACAGATACATGTCAGTTGTTTGAATTCACTTGAGTAACATATCTCCTTCCAAGTTTCCTTGGGACTGTTTCCCTCTTCTCTACCTGGGCAACATATTACCCTTCGGTTCCTATTTTGGATAAGCATCTCCTTTGCACTCTGGAATAACATTGGAAGAATCAGAACTCCTGAACACTTAACTAATGGCTCATTCAGGTTGAACTCCTCTAAATGTTTCTCATGATGTGCTCCTCTGGCTTTGTTCATCTAATAGACACCCTGGGCCCCACCCCTGACTTCTCAGCTCTGACTTTATCTTTCATATGGATTTGTTGACAGTAACTGAAGACAGTGTTTGCTTCTGGGAATTCTAGTTGTGAGATCTTGTTTAATAACCTGAAATGCAATAAAGCTCCAGTGAAGGAAATTATCACAGACAAGTATAAGTCATAATTCCACTGCCCAAGGTGTTGTGAAGCTAAAATTGGCAGAGAAGTTTGCCCTTACTGTGACTAAACAAAATTCATGCTGGAGTCTCAGTGCTGAGGTTGTTTTCTCACGGACATTTTCATGGCAGGTTCTCTCTCCAAAACTAGAGCAGATGCTCCATCTATCTTCTTCCTCAGAATCCTGCATTTCCAGTTGTATTATTTGTTACATAGTAATGGACTCTTCTGTGTCTTAGTTCAGTTTCTTTCTCAGTCCTTCACACTAGATTTCTAAATTAAGCTCTTTAGAAGGATTATTCATGTCTTGTTTATCAGTAAATCTCCATAAATGCAACAGTTGTATCATAATAGATACTCAAGGAGTAATTATTTAAATGCATTCCTTAATATATTAATATATGCATAAAGTGAGATTCAGGCCTTCCCTGGTGGCTCAGATGGTAAAGAATCTGCCTGCAATGAGGAAGACTTGGGTTCGATTCCTGGGTTGGGAAGATTCCCTAGAGAAGGGAAAGACTGCCCACTCCAGTATTCTTGCCTGGAGAATTCCATGGACAGAGAGGCCTGATGGGGGCCCATGGGGTCAGAAAGAGTTGGACAAGACTAGGTGACTAACACACTCAAAGAGAGATTCAAAGCTAAGAAAAAGAATGTCTCTTATTTTCCAAGGAAATTTTCCATCTTCACATCCAGAAATTCCAAGGAAACTCTTTCATGGTTCCCCATATTTTTCCTAGTTGTGCTCTGTTTAGGCTCATGGGCCTTGAAGCCCTCTCTGCCACAGATCAAAATTACAATGAACAGGAAGTCCTCCCAAGAGTTGCTCTTCACAGGTTTGGAGCATGAAACCTTGTAAAAATGTGATTTACTTCTCCTCCTGCCTGATCTAGCATCCAACAGAAAACTTGTTGAGTCAGTTTAATCATCTCAACAATTCTCTCTTTCTTACCATGGACTTAGGAATTTAGATGTTCCCAGGCTCTGAACAGCCATATCCCTGCCTCTACTCAAAGCAACTTTCCTTGCCTCTGTGTTCTAGCCTCCTCCTATCTCTTTCCTTAGCTGATACACAATCTGAGAGAATTTCTTAAAGTGGTATACAAATGGTTGATATTAGATAAAATGGTTCATGATTCAAATTTTGTGTCTGTTTTTTTCTGCATGTCTGATCAAAATAGGAGAGATGATGGTAGCAGATAGTGTTGGCGGTGATTTAAAATAGAAACTAGTCTATATATTTAGAATATGTGTATGAAGAGGTAGAGGATAGGGGTGAAAGTAACCTCTTTGTACAGTCCTGGAGCTATCATAGCCCTGTGTCAACTCATGTTCTTGCTCTGACAACAAAGAGAGACATGACTGCCATAAAATAAATAACTCTGGTAGGGTTAGACACATCAGACACCACTGTAACCTACTGGACTTCCCAATGTTCCCAATTCATATTGTGGCCCTGGTTATTTTAGTTTCTGGTTGTCCAGGATCTAGGCATCCTTTGGTTTCCATATTTCTTGAATCTTGATGGAAGACAACACTTCTTCCATATATGGGATCTGATAAATAATTTTTCTAATAATAAACTGTGAAGAGTTGACTCATTGGAAAAGACCCTGATGCTGGGAGGGATTGGGGGCAGGAGGAGAAGGAGGTGACAGAGGATGAGATGGCTGGATGGCATCAACGACTCGATGGACATGAGTTTGAGTAAACTCTGGGAATTGGTGATGGACAGGGAGGCCTGGCGTGCTGTGATTTATGGGGTCACAAAGAGTCGGACACTACTGAGCGACTGAACTGAACTGAATAATAAACTAAAATGTCTTCCCTTGTAGCTCAGGTAAAGAATCTGCCTGAAATGCCGGACACCCAGGTTCTATCTCTGGTTCTGGAAGATCCCCTGGAGTAGGAAATGGCAACCCACTCCAATATTCTTGCCTGGGAAATTCCATGGACAGAGGAGCCTGGGGGCTATAGTCCATGGTGTAACAAAGAGCTGGACATGACTGAGTAAACAACAAAACTAAAATGTTGAAAAATAGACATAAGTATAAGATATTTAAGAATAAATTTAACAGAAGATGAGCAAGTTTTCTGTGACTATGTCATTGAAACAAAATATACAAGCATAAGTAAGTAAAATATTTTCTTAATGATTAAGAAGTTTCAAGATTTTATTTAATATGTCAATTTATTCAAAATTAACCTGCAAAACAGTCTACTTCTAAGCGAAATTACAACTGATCATCCTGTAGAACTTGATAGGTGACTCTGAAATTCATACAACAGTGCAAATAGCCAAAGATAACAATAACAATTTAAAAATAAACAGTGAATGAGAGCAACCCCTAACAGACTCAGAGACTTTTTGCAAAGCTATAGCATGTTGTAGTGTAGTGCTTGTGTGGAATTAAATACATAAACAGAAAATAATAAAAAGGCACAGACTCATAGATATAACGGAGGAGGCAGTGGCAACCCACTCCAGTACTCTTGCCTGGAAAAATCCCATGGAGGGAGGAGCCTGGAAGGCTGCAGTCTGTGGGGTTGCTAGGAGTCGGACATGATTGAGTGACTTCACTTTCACTTTTCACTTTCATGAACTGGAGAAGGAAATGGCAACCCATTCCAGTATTCTTGCCTGGAGAATCCCAGGGATGGGGAAGCCTGGTGGGCTGCCATCAATGGGGTCGCACAGGGTCAGACACGACTGAAGCAACTTGGCAGCAGCAGCAGTAGCATTGATATAATAATACTTCAAAGAAGTAATATTGAAATAGTTGAAAAAGATTGGCTTATCCAAGAAACAGTGCTAACCTAATTGGTTATCCACATGGAAAATAAAGGGCTTCCCTTGTGGCTCAGCTGGTAAAGCATCCGCCTGCAATGTGGAAGACTTGGGTTGATCCCTGGGTTGGGGAGATCCCCTGGAGAAGGGAAAGGCTACCCACTCCGGTATTCTGGCCTGGAGAATTCCATGGACTATATAGTCCATGGGGTCACAAAGAGTCGGACATGACTGAGCGATTTTCACTTTTTTTTTTTTATGGAAAATAAAATTTTATCTTTAATGTAGAGTACACATAAAAACATATTCAATGAAAGACATGAATGTTAAAAGAAAATTTGAAAATGTTTAAAAGAAATACAGAAGAATGAAGAGACACATGGACAAATAGGTAGATAGATAAATAGGTAGTTATACTACTGTAAAACGGAAGATACCAAGAAAAAGAGACAATGATAGCCACAGACTAAGAGATGACATTTATAATGTATATTTATGAGTAATGGTGATTTAATATCCAGAACTCATAGAGTGTCTATAAGTCAGTAAAAATTAAAAAAAAAAAAAAGAAAAGAAAATCCAAATGAGATTGAACAATGCTGAAGAGAGGAAAATAATGTGCCAATAGAGCTATGAAAACCCTTTTATCTTCACTATAAAATTTGAAAACAAAATAAATAACAAAGAGGCACCATATTTTACCAATAAAAATAGCAAAAATGGTAAAAGCCTGATAATACCAAATATTGGTGCAGTTGTGAAGTAATGATTCATAATTTATAGTCAGTGTAGATTAGTGTAACCTATGCAGATCTATTTGGGAATATCTATTAGAGGTGAAAGATGCACCTGCTTTATTATACAGCTGCTGACTTTTATCTAAATGTTCTTACTTTTGTGCAAGGAAATATGTACAAAAATGTTACTGCTGCTCCATTTTTAAACATTGAAAACAACCTAATTGTCCATCAATAAAAGAAAAAACAGGTGACAGTAAATAGACTAATAAATTAATATATACTAATATACACTATTAAAACCAATAAACTTTAGCAAAATGATAAACATGAATAAATTATAATGCAACTACATATTTACATTATAACTTTTATAGAGTATTTTAAGTATGCAATGCCATGTCTCTGATGTGTTTGTGTGTGTATATGTGCATTAAGGTATTAAAAACCATGTTAAAAATGATAAATAGGAACTCTGGAAAGCTCCTCTTGGGGAAAAAATGAAGCAAACGGAAGTGTAAAATGTTACATGGGTGGTGTAATTTCTATCTGAAAAAAAATATGAGGCAAATAGGCAAAATGTTAAAACATTAACATTTAATCAAGTGATCATTATATCATCCTCTTTATTTTACAACTGAAACATTTTCTTCTTAAAAAAAAAAGTTCAAAGTGAAATTAAAAAAAAAAATCAGATTCTA